CACCACTATTTCCCCTCGCATCACCTTGATTTGTAGGGATCTCAGTGGGCTTACGTCTTAGTGTTTATGCAGCGCCTCCCAGGCTCCCATCCCCAGCAAGGCCTTCTCCAAGCTGATCTTCCTCCTGCTGCCCCACCCACTTCCTGCACTGAAAGGCTGTGGGTGGCAGTTCTAGCTGATTGCTCTTGTGCACCGGTCACCACGTCATGCATTGCTGGTTTGGGCAAGGAGGGCTTTTTGTTCTTGTGAACCATCCCCACCCACACACATACCAAAACCCTGGTACCTGTTGTGATATCAGCCAGACTGATCATAGAGGCTCACGTTACCACCTAGGTTTGTTCCTGTGTTTATAGGTTCCACGGTCACAACAAAGGACAGAAGTGATCTGCTGGTTTATAGCTAGAAGTGTCATTTTGCGATGAGTGTGTTGGGGGCACTATAGGAAAAATAGGTTCCCTCCAGGAAAAAACCATGGAGAAGAGGACAGAAAAGGCTAATTGAACCATGACCTATTCAAGATGAGAGTTTAGGGCACTTAAAACCTCCTGTTCATAATTTTCATTTTTGCTTCCTCCCTTACCTAAAGCTCTAGGAAAACAACACCAGGGCCCTTCCAGAATACTGTCCCTGAGCACCTGGGAGGCAGGAAGTCCAAGGTGACTGTGCTGCAGTTAATGAGGTACTAGGGCGGTGGGCTGCTGCCTGGTAAGCAAGCACCCAGAGAGGTCACTCAGGCCCAAGTCAGCTTTGTAGAGTCCTTGACCTCTTCAGTCCCTTTAAGTTGATTCTCCAGAGCCCTAGGACATGACTCGTTCTAACCAAGTTCACAAGATGCTGAATTCTAAACAGTCCCTAAGAAATTTTGCTTATGAACAGGCTTACAGGGAGAGTATCACAAGCATGAAAAAGCCTGGGAGTAACCTTCAGGCTGAGCTTCTCCTCGGGAGATAGGAAAGTGTCCCTGCTGTATTCAAGGTGTCCCCCTCAATCAGTGTGAGAGCAGTGGGACTATGCTCCTTCCTGGTTCTCTCTGCACTCTGTGGAGATTCCAGTGTACTAGTCATACCTCCTTATTTTAGACCACTGATTCTCTAACTCTGTCCTTAAGGAATTCTGGTACTCCATGAGCCAAAGAAAGGATAGAAGTGTTTCAGATACACGCTTTCCTCTTACAAAATTTTCTGTAAACCCTTCAGACCTATGAAAAAAGTTTTTTAAAAAAATCAGAGAAATGTGAACTCTTCCCTGGTTTCTGACACACCACCCTCTCCTGGTTCCCCTCCTACCTGACTGGCCTGTCTTGGTCTTGCTTGGGTCTCCTTCTCTGTGAAACATCTCTTCAGTGCTGATCTCCCTCGAGGTTCTATCCCTGTCCCTGCCCTCATCTCACTGTAAAGACTCATGGGCGATTGCACCAATGCTCGTGGGCTCAGTGGCCCTTTATTCTGATGACTCCACACTGTAGAATCCAGCTGAGCTGTCTCTCAGTTCCAGACTGGGCTGCCTCTAGGACATCTCCTTATGACAGATCCACAGGCTCCTCAGGTTCAACATTCACTCAGAGGAACCGATGACCTACCTCTGATTCCAAACTTCTTGTGCTCTACTCTCTTCTCAAGAGCTGAGAAGTTAGAAACTGGCGTCCTCCTGCCCTGCCCTGTGTTTCCAGTGTCGCTGCCGCCTGATGATTATGCCCCCAGGGAGCACTCTAACTCACTCACGCTTCTCATCACCACCCCGAGGCCAGGCCACTGCCTAGAGAACGTCTTCTCTTTGCTCATTAACCTCAGAAAAAGCCCAAACTCAGCCTAACCTGATGGCAGAGTCAATGGCAAACAGAACTATAGGGTTCAAAGCCCACCATGGTTCGGATCCCCCAGAAGGCTTGAAAACATGCAGGGTCATGCATGTGTGCCCAAGATCCTGACAAGCTGGAGAGCTGGGAAAGGGAGATCATGGGATTGCAGTGTGGCAAGACCCTGTCAAGAGTACATCTCACGGGCTGGCAGGTGGTCTGGTGATTAAGGCGCTGGACTCCTACATGGCCAACCATGATTTGAGTCCCAGATCTGGTGGCTTGCATTCTCACTTTTCCTTTCTCTCTCTCTGGTCAAATTAAAAAATAATAACAAATAAAATAGAATAAAATAATTATTTTTCAAACAAAAGAAAAAGAAAACACTTCCCCCTTTGAATTATAATTTCCTGGTTATTTTTGCCATCTTTTCTAACCTGAGAGTTCCTCTGGGATGGAACTTATCAGGTTCATTGCTATATTCCAAGTGCCCAGCACAAACCCTGGCATGTAGTAGACAATTAATGAATATTTATTGATGTTGAACATTTGTAGAATATCTACCAATTACTTTGATAAAACAAATAAATAAAGCAAAAATAAAAACAATTTTCTCTGGGTATGTGTAATTTGGTTGAGATTTAATACTGGGCACATGTAAAAATCCTGCATTTTCTGTCAAGGAAATTGTTACTAGTTTGGGGCCAGCAGGTGGCATGGTGGTTGGGGTGCTGGACTCCCACATGGCCAACTGCAGCTTGAGCCCAGTGGCTCGAAAATCACTCTGGGCGTGTATGAATCTGTGCCCAAAATCCCAGCAGGAAAATGAAAGAGAAGGGATTGCAGCATGGCCATCCCCCTGGGGGTGATTTCTCACTTTCCCTCTCACTATCTCTATCTCTCTGGCAAGTGCATATGCTCTATGGCAAAAACCTAAAAATAAAAACATTTTTTAAAAAAGCAATTGTTCCTGGTTTGGATAATAGAATTAAATACATTAAAATTTCAAAAGACTGGGCCAGCAGGTAGCATGGTGGTTAAGGGCACTGCACTCCCACATGGCCGACCATGCTTTTCGTCCCGGACCTGGTGGCATGCTTTCTCACTTTCCCTCTCTCTCTCATTCCGCCTCTCTCTGGTCAGTTGAAAATAAGTAAATAAATAAATAAAGTTAAATAAAATAATTCTCTTTTTTTTTCAGAGAGGTTTTTGCTACAGGGCATGTGTGCTCACCAGGAAGACAGAGAGACTGAGGGACAGAAAGCGAGAAATCACCCCCCAGGGAGTATGGCCGCAATCTGTTCTCCTCCATTCTCCTCTCAGGATCTTGGGCATGCACACACACGCTCCCAGAGTGAGTTTTAAGCCACCAGGTCTGAGACTCGAAATGTGGTTGACTACATGGGAGTCCAGCAACATCGCCATTATGCTAACTGCTGGTCCCATAAAGTAATTCTTTAAAAAATATTTCAAAGGACTTTTTTCTGTACTCTAGCCCCAGAGGCAACCCCAAGTGAGCCACCAGCTACATACTCATTGATAAATAGTTAGAAATAAACTCCATCCTGAACTATATTGAACCTGAAGATGACTATGATGATGCTGAAATACCTATAAATATTGAAAGCCATTTTGAAACAACTCTTGTTCTGCCCTCTTAATAGTTTCAGGAACTGATGCTTTAGTCATACCAAAACCCAGTTGATTATAGTTTTCCTTATGGTAGTTACATTCTCACCTTTGAGATGCAAAGATTGTTTTCAGAAAATGCACTAGCAATGCCAGCAATAAGGTTTACAGATCATGTGTATTGGTGAGGATACTCTAGGCTGCAAGGAACAGACTATCCAACTAAATATAACTTACACAAGGAGGAGTTTATGACCTGACAAAACAGGAAATCTAAAGGTAAGCACTCTGGAATTCAGAACTGTCCTTTCAGAGTCCTAGCTGACTTTAATTCTTTTAGCGTTACTCTCATGGTGGCAAAATAGCTGTACTAGTCCCAAGTATGCCATTCTTATTGAGATTACTAGGAAGGAATATCTTTCCCAGAGAAGCCCCAGGCAACTTTCCCTAATATGTCATTGGCCTGAATTGATTTCCATGCCCTGTATCTTAGACCATTCAAGCTGCTGTAACAAAATACCTCAGACTAGATAATTTATAAACAACAGAAATTTACTGTTCACAATTCTGGAGATGAAGCCCAAGATTAAATAAGACATAAGCTTGGGACCAGCAGACGGCATAATGATTACATTGCTGGACTCCCACGTCGTCGACCATGGTTAGAGTCCCAGACCTGGCAGCTTAATACTCATGCCAGGCAGGTGTGCATGCATGCCCAAAATTTTGAGAGGAAAATAGAAGAGAAGTTATCACAACATGGCCATCCTCCCTGAGGGGGTGGGGGGAGTATGTGTGTGAATTTCCTGCTTTCTATCTCTGTCTCTCTGGCAAGTACACATACCCTATAGCAAAAATCTCTGGAAAGAAAGAAAGAGGAAAGAAAAAGAAAGAAGGGAAGAAAGAAAGAGAGGGAGGGAGGGAGGGAAGGAAGGAAAGAAGGAAGGGAGGGAGGGAGGGAGGGAAGGAGGGAGGGAGAGAGAGAAAAGAAAGAAAGAAAGAAAGAAAGAAAGAAAGAAAAAGAAAGAAGACATGAGCAGGTTTGGTGTCTGGTGAAGGTTGGATCTCTGCTTCATCATAACTAGATACATACCAGTTGACTACAGTTGCATTTCCTTTTACTAGAAGAAAGTGTGCAAATCACTGTTTAAAAGGTTGTAGGAGGGGCCAACAGACAGCATAAAG